AAAGTTGGGAGCATGAAATTGTCCAAAATGTCTTGGTATGCTGATGCCTTAAGAGTTCCCTTCACTGGAACTAAGGGGCTAAGCCCAACCCCTGAAAAACAACCCCACACCATAGTCCCCCCTCCATCAAACTTTACACTAGGCACTAGGGATGCACCGATACCGATACTAGTATAGATACTGGTGCCGATACAGCGTATTTGCTCCGATGCCTAGCCCGATACTTCCTGTATCAGGCATGCCATTACACGCTGCCCGGTTTCCTGATTGGCCGGGAAGCAGCTCCCTGCTCTCTCTGCACTTGGTATGAGAGAGCATGGAGCCGACTTCCCGGCCAATCAGGAAGTCCTCCATGATTGGCCAGCCAGACGACTCCGGCTGGGTACCGGAGGAAGGCCGCTCCTGGCTGGAGAGGCCCCAGGGGTGACAGGTTGGACATGCCGAGGTGAGAGGGGACAGAGATCCGCACTGCAGAAACATGCTGGATCTTATTATTATTATGGGGATTCGTATGGCACGGCTTTCTTGTTAATCGGGAAGCCGGCTGGTGATTCTTTACGTGCTGCCCGGCAAATTAGGAAGCCAGGTGGCGAGTCAATACACACCACCTGGCTTCCTGAATGGCACTTCCAGTACTTGGTAATTGGTGTCGGCGAGAACCAAAAAAATATTATCGGTACTCGTACTCGGTACCAAAATACCGGTATCGGTGCATCCCTACTTGGCACAATGCAGTCAGGCAAGTACCGTTCTCCTGGCAACCGCCAAACCCAGACAGGTCCCTTGGATTGCCAGACAGAGAAGCATGATTCCTCACTCCAGAAAACACGTCTTCACTTTTCTAGAGTCCAGTGGTGGCGTGCTTTACACATTCAACGCTTTGCATTGCACTTGGTTATGTAAGGCTTGGATGCAGCTGCTCGGCCATGGAAACTCATTCTATGAAGCTCTCCACACACTGTTGTTGTACCAATCTAAATGCCACACGAAGTTTGGAGGTCTGTAGCTACTGACTCTGCAGACAGCTGGCACACTGTGCACTTCAGCATGCGCTGACCCCACTCTGTCGTTTTACATGGTCTACCACTTCGTGGCCGAGTTGCTGTTGTTCCCAGTTGCTCCCACTTTGTTATAATACCACTAACAGTTGACCGTGGAATATTTAGTAGCAAGGAATTTCACGGATGGACTTATTGCACAGGTGGCAACCTATCACGGTACCACTCTTGAATTCACTGAGCTCCATTCTTTCACAAATGTTTGTAGAAGCGTCTGCATGCCTAGGTGCTTGATTTTATACACCTGTCGCCATGGAGGTGATGACCTCATCAGTCTGTTCCTGTTCCTTCACCCTCCATTTGCAAGCTCGAGGTAGAGAGGCGACTGTGCTGTTGTGGCAGTGATATGTAAATCTCAGGGCTTGGTGGACAGATGCTTTGGCAGGTAAGACTGCTCCAACACATATATTTTATCTGTGTATTTAGTTGTTTTCCTGGAGTTAAGCTATGTTTATTTGTGATTTTTAACCCTGCACCAGGCAAAAGATACATATAAAGGCTGTTTAACCCTTTTGTTGCCAGTGACATATGCCATACGCCACTGCGCCCGTCAACAGGCTCTATAGCCTCTGGGAGTCTGTTTACTTGTGTAAAGTCAATCATCGTCTTTATACTGGAAGCAATTCTGGCGCTTCCAGGGGTCGTTAAATAGAGTCCCCCCCCACCTTGCTTTCCGGGCTCCACTGCCCCTCCTGCAGGTCTGAGACCAGCATTATAGGTTTCATGTGATAGCAGGAAGAGAGTCCTGCAAATGTCAATTTGCTAACCTACTCCCCACTGAATGAAACCGGAAGAGAAGGTAATTGCATCACTTCCGGTTTCTGTGTGGACAACTGGGGGTACCACATTTTTTCGCTGTTTCATGGGCGCACACAATATTTAAGCTTGGCATGTTCGGTATCTATTTACTTGCTATAACCTCATCTTTTATAAAAAAATAAAAACAAATCAGTCGCATATCGTGTTTTTTTTAACTAAATTTGCATACATATATACACACAGTACTGTGCAAAAAATGTAGGCAGTTGTGAAAAAATTCTGTAAAGCGCTGAAAACTTTAATTCAGAAATAAGTGTTAATAGTTTATTTTTTTACCAAACAAAATGTAAAGTAACAGAAGAGAAATCCAAATCAAAATTTGGTGTGACCACCCTTTGCCTTCAGCATCAATTCTTCTAGGTACACTTGCACACAGTATTTGAAAGAACTCAGCAGGTAGGTAGTTCCAAACATCTTGGAGAACTAAGCACAGATCTTCTGTGGGCTGCCTCAAGTCCCTCTGTCTCTTCATGTAATCCCAGACTTGATGGTGAGATCAGGGCTCTCTGGGGCCAAACCATCACTTCCAGGACTCCTTGTTCTTTATGATGAAGATAGTACTCAATTATATTGGCTGTATGTTTGGGGTCTTTGTTCTGCTGCAGAATAAATTTGGGGCCAATCACTTGCCTCCCTGATGGTATGGCATGATGGAGAATTATCTGCTTGTATTTCTCAGCACTATTTCTTCATCGTTGCTGCAGACACTCATTATTGTACCACTCTCCAGCCCTTCGGTGAACAAACTGCCTCCTGTTACAGCCAAATATTTAAAATGTTTACTCATCAGTCCAGAGCACCTGCTGCCATATTTCTGCACCCCAGTTCCTATGTTTACATGCATAGTTGAGTCGCTTAGCCCTGTTTCCATGTCGGAAGTATGGCTTATTAGCCGCAATTCTTCCATGAAAATCTTTGCTTGGGAGAGACCTTGCTGATGCAGTATAACTACCTTCTTGTCATGGTGTATGACCTGTGACATTGTAAGCTATTCTATTCTTATGCCGACCCGTTCCTGTATCCTTTGTTAGCCTCGAAGCTTCGGGAATCATGCATCCAGACACCATGTATCATGAATAGCAGAATTCAGTTTATTTTTAGTAAATACATCGTTCTTATACCGTTTCGAGACTTTGCAGAAGAGGCATGATTTGTCTACAGTAAAATGCATTCTTAAACAACATTATCAAATTAGCTTTGCGAGCAGGAAACACCTTCCAGCGGTTATCGGTTATATATATATATATATAATCAGACAGATGGGCAGAAAACAGGAACAAGAACAATAAACAAGAATAAAAAAAAATTAACTCTTTCTCCTTTCATTTCCCCTTTTGACACAAAGTGACAACTATAAAATCTATACATTTTGTTTCCAATACGCTTCATCATTCATTTGATGAATTTGTTTCTTTAAAGTAAAAACCAAATAACAATTGTACATTACAAGTAATACCAAGCTAATAGTACAAACCAATAGAGGGTACATAATTGCAGGTAGAATTTCTGATCCAGTTGGAGACCATCCTGCAAATATGTCATACCAATTATAATGACATATAATGTCTTCCAATTATATATGACAAACTGTCTTCCACAACCTCACCTTAGTAGCAGAGTATGGCTGTTCGTCGTCGTTTTAAGCCTCCTACACAGCTGTTTCTGTTAATGATTGTGTTTCAACCTACATATGAAATTGATGATCATTAGCACCTGCTCGCTATAATTGGTTAATCATACACGTGACGCTGAGGGCCCGTTCACATCAGTTGCAGTGCGTTCCGGCCTGATTCTGGCCAGAACGCACTGCCTCACATTGCTGCCGGCTCACTTTTTAGTGGGGTAGGAGGAGGGCGTGACGGGCCATTGAAGGGAATGGCACCGTAGCCACGCCCTCCGGCCACAATGCGATCGCAAGGCACATTGTGCCTGCGTTCCGGTGCGATCAAAATGCTGCAAGCACTATTTTCATTGCACCGGACCGCAGGCACAATGTGCCTTGCGATCCCGTGCGGGCGATCACATCGCGGAGGGCATGGCTACGGTGCCATTCACTTCAATGGCCCGTCACGCCCCCCTAAAAAGTGAGCCGGCTGCAATGCGAGGCAGTGCATTCTGGCCGGAATCGGGCTGGAACGCACTGCAACTGGTGTGAACGGGCCCCAATACTACAGAATTCTAGACATTGTGCAAGTGTACGAATTGACGCTGGCTGGTTTTAGGCCAAAAGTGTAGTCAGACTTACTCACTTTACATTTTGTACATTGACAAAACGATACAAATATATATTTTTGAAAGCATTCTTACTTTACAGCATTTTTTCCCACACCTGCCTAAAATTTTTGCACAGTACTTATATATATATATATACATACACACACATACACATTACAAACTTGGTCTCATGCACAGCTTTTCTGATGAAATTTTAACTTCAAAATCCATAACAGATGTAGTCCATATGCACATTCCACTAAACGCACATCCGTATGCAACACCACGGAAACCAGGCATTGCTGTAGCGTCAGCTGCAAATGACAGGAGTGAAATCTGACTCAGTCAAACTTCCCCTAAAAGTTGACTGACATATTTATCTATCAGGTGTGTCATCTGTACTTCAGCTGTCTCAGTGTTTTTTGCTTTGGGGCAGTGTTACGCTGGAGAAAAACATTCTAAGGTGCAGGTATTTCTTTTATCTCGAATGCTCAGTCAGCTATTACATTTTGAAGGATCTGACTAAAGTCTGTAAGGGATGCTGTTCACAGGGGCTTCTATATGTGCCTGTTCCCAACAGATGTGTTCAGTGCAGGCTCTTCCTAATATTCCTCAACAGAGGTTTTATTTTAGCCTACAGTAACCAGTTACACACTAGGCAGCTCCTGGAAGCAGTATAATACAACTAGATGGAACAAGGTGCTGTCCACAAGCAATAAGCTGCATTCAGCAGACTTTCTTTCTAGACAAAAATAAACCGAATATAGAGTTTCAGAAACACCGATCAGGAAGATGTCACAGGAACATAGAGAAGCACCTGTGTACACAAAGCTCAAGCACTATTCAGCAAGTGGCTGTAACATATAGGCGTGGTGATAAATAAACAGAAGCTTTCATATTGAAATGTTGTTTATTTACAGCTTGGTGCTTTATTAAATAACGCCTTAGACTTCAGTTTGGTCTTCTGTTTCAAAAGTTTTTGATGGTTGAGATCCTCTTGCTTTTCGGACCACTTCTTCATTCCTTCATCTATTTCATTGCTAAGAACAACAACACGGCTCTGTAATGAGGGGAGGGAGATAAATGTTAAAATGCACAGCCATGCTAGAATACACGTTATGTAATACACGTTTTTAAATAATAATAATAAAAAAAAAAAACAACAAAAAACTAATCCACTAATCAAAGATATCAAGTTTACTTCAGAATAAAAACTACATGCACAATTTTTTGCCATCACACTGGAATGCATGGCATTGCGGTAGCATGCATTCCAGTGCGGGCGGTCATACCGTGGGTGGGAGGCACATTTGGGGTGCCAATTAAATGAATGGCACTGCAATGTACCTCCCGCAGCAGAATTTGTCAAGCCGAAACTGAAAATGACTTTTTCCCCACCTTTTATAAATTTAAAAAATAAATAAATTGTATTGTAAGCACATGGCGCTTCAATAGCCTCAGCCAGGGAATGATGGCTGCCAGTGGCAAAATTATGCAGACGGCACCTGAATGTAAATACAGCAGGTAGTGAACTGGTGCAATAGCCAGGCTGCTATTGGCCATTTCAGATTGCAATAGCCAATAGCAGGCTGGCTATTGTACCCGCCCACTGCTTGCTGTGCCCTCCTCCCAGCTTAGAGGAGAGAGCTAGGGGATCCAACTAATCAATAATGAGAAAAGTTGAAAACTATTATCATTATTGATTATCATCGATTAGTTGGTTGGAGCCCTACATGCAATAGTGGTTGATTAGGGACAGGCTTCAGAAATCAGTCATAAGCTGCAGACATGTTACATAAGACTGCTATAGACCTTTACAAATCAGTGCTCTCACATTTGTGCTCCCTATAGCCCCCTTAAAAAATACTTATGCCATATTTGATATTTCTTTTAGCAGGATCCATTATTAAAATCAGAGGGGAAAACAAAAAAAAAGAGGAAAGCGATGGACAACATAGAAAAAGTAAGAGTGTGAGATAAATAAGTCAAGCCATTTAAGTACAAAAAGCATATAAAAAAAAACAAAAAACTAGCCTGAGTAAGACTGGAGCTAAAGCTGGCCATACAGCAAATGGATTTCCACTGGTTCCAAAGGAACTTGCTGAAATTCGAGCTGTGGGTGGCCCTGTCGGCACATCTCTGCCTGACAAAAAATGATCTTTCAATCAACTTATCGAAGGGGCCAGTCTGAATATGTTTGGCTGAACACTTCCTACCTCCAATCAGATGCAGACACTGTCTGGGTATATACAACAGCCAGCAGCAGGAGATTCATCCAGCCATGCTCTTTAGCATGGATGGAGAAATCAGTTAGATTTTCAACAACAAAAAAATCCATTTGTGCAAGGCCAGCTCAAGAAAAGCACACACTGTCAGCAGGGGAGCTAAAGGGTTTGCAGAGCAAGTGCCAAAGGGCAGCAGGTAGTAAATAGTTACTAATGCCATATCAATATTTAGACTGATCTGTTTGCATTGGCAAATGTTACAGTACATTGTGGAAAACCCCCATTTACAACATCAGTCCTTTCGGGAAGCTAAATTTATGTTTTTCTTGAATTTCCGCTTTATTTTTTCTTACCAAAGGAACATGACAAATGTCTGCAGCCTCCTACATTTCCTGTCCTGCTAGCCACGAGTGAGTTAAGATTTTGAGGAACCTTGTCAGCATGTGAACTGGGGATCAGTGCCACATCTTTCAAGAGTGAACATGCCTTTCCACTATGTATTGGATATAAAAGACTGCAAGGGATCACTTTGGCACACTGAAGTTGTAAGAAAAGTAAAAATTGGGTGAGGTTTTTCTCCACGGTCTCCTTACATAACTCATATGTTACAAAAACAGTGGCGTTCAACTTAGTAAATACAGTGGTACCTCGGTTCATGAACTTAAAGGAGAACTATGGGGTAAGTGTTTTTCCCCATAGTTCTCCTAAGGGTGATGGGAGGACATAAACTAGCGTCCTCCCGTCACCCTAAGCTCACTATACCGCAAGTTACAGCTCGGAGTATACTGAGACGCCGCAGCCGGGACGGATCGCAACATTACTGTCTGGATCCACCCAGCTGCGTGAGTGGCAGCTGGATCTGCCTATCTAGAGGCAGAGCCAGCTGTGCCCGCCCCCTCCCCTGTCCATTCCTCCAGTCAGTGCTGAAGAATCAGAGAGGAGAGAATCCCTGCAGGGAGCCATAAGTGTCAGTCACCTGGGATAGATCGAGAAGTGAGCGAGCGCCGGTATGTGTTCGCTCACTTCCCGAGCTATTGAGCCGACGTTGGACAGTTTCATTGTCACACGTCGGCTCGAACTATGAGGCTGAGTGATTTTCACTCGCCTCATAATTCTCCTTTAATTTGTTCCATGATTCTAGTCCCCACCATGCTTCCTCTACACTTGCTTTTTACCACCATGCTTCCTCTGTACTTGCTTTTTACCACCATGCTTCCTCTGTACTTGCTTTTTACCACCATGCTTCCTCTACACTTGCTTTTTACCACCATGCTTCACAGCAAGTGTGCACAGGTCTGTCTGCGACCGCAATCTCGACTGGAGGAAGCCACGACCACGCGTTAGAGCGGGGAAGATGGCCGCGGTCGTGTTCGTCACCCGATTTGGAGTTCGCAAACAGAAGCAACATTTTGCTGAACTTCCTGTTCACGAACCGAATTGTTCAAGAACAAAAGCGTTCGTAAACCGAGGTATTACTGTATAGAGGGCCTCAAGTGCAGCCCCCAACATGCCTGCTCACTAGCATACTTTTTATAAATTTGCTGATGCTCCTTCAGAAGGTGTGTCCATGACAGCCTGTGCCAACAGGAAGTGGGTTAAGTGATGCTGCATCATTCAACTTGGAAGACAAGCTGTGCTGGACCTGGAAGAAGTAAATCTGTGGGGAACAGCACTAGGGATAAGGTAAACATTGCTGCAAAACCTTGTTTTCATTTTTTTTTTTTACTTTTAAAAGGTGCAAGGCAGTATATAACATAAAAATCACTTCAACTGCCGTAACAGTATATACCTTACAGTTGTAAAAGAAAAAGTCCCCTTTCCTTCTGTTGTTTTTGTGTATTATTTGGTATATTTTGTTGTTAAAAAGGTAGTAAATAAATAATAATAATAAAAAATCAAGGTTGAAAATAGCAATTTTTACATTGTACTACTAGGCGCCTGCTTGTGTTGATGTCTCTTTAAAGGGTCACTCACAAAATCTGAACAAATTAACTTACCCATAACACCCTGCCACCTCCCCAGCCCCCGCTGCACTTACATGTTCGAAGTCTCTTCCAGCTGGTGTAGCAGTCTGTACACTGGACTTCCCAGTCCAGCAGTATGGAATGCTCCTAATGCTTGCAAATTACAAGCGCTCATTGGTCAGCACGGTCACATGACCAGGCTGACTTGTAAGAAGCACTTCTAAACCGGGAACCAGGTGCCAGATGTAGGAGTTGCTTCCCATTGGTCTACATGACCATGTGATCAAACGGAAGTGATTTTAGTACCTGATAAATGAGAAGCTGGCAGTGATATTAAATGACAATGCTAAATATTTGGAAATTCTGGATGGCCTGGATCACAAACTACCTCCCAAATACTATTGATTACTGTTTACTTACTATCTGTAATAAAACTAGAACGCACACCTTGCCTCGGTGTCCTGAGCCTGCCCCCATCCTACCACCCTCCTCCTCCCATTCACCTCTTTCTCAAACTTTCCTATCTCACCATTCCTTTCCCCTGATCCCCTCCAACTCCCTCTCCACAAATACTCCTCCTTTAGTTCATGGGTTCAGACAACGGCTGTACTTTCTCTTGGAACCCCTTAAAGATCTACAAGAAATTGAAAAGTTAACCCTTGCAGTGGGGCTACTCCCGCACTGCAAGGGTTAACTGCTCGATTTTCTCTAGGGGCGATAATAAAGAAGAAACACTCACCCGATTCTTGCTCCTGGAGCAGTGACTTCTCACCTCTCTCCCCCTCTGCGGTATGTCCCTTAGCATCCTCACATCTAATACACTTTAATAAACATGATAACCAGAGAAGAGGCTGCAGGGACTAGTCTAGCAGCCAGGTGGGACTAAGGATCCGGTAAACATATCTTCATTACGTTTGCTACCTAGACAAAATGAGCAGTTAACCCTTGCAGTTTGGAAGTAGCCCCAATGCAGGAGTTAACTTTTCAAATTCCTGGAGTTCCTCTTTAAAGGGTTATTAAACCCTTAGTTTTTTTTGCATATATCTACTGCATGCAAGCACTAGATATATGCAAAAAGTTTTTTTTAAAAACAAAAACTTTTGAAACAGGTTTAAAAACTTACCTGTGTGTTCGCCGTGCGCTCCCGTCCGAACATCTGAAGAGTCTCGGGTGGCTGCAAAGGATCTTGGGGCGGGCGCATGCGCAGTTCAGATGTTTGGCCGGGAGACGAGGAGAGACACAAGGTAAGTCTATGGAGCAGCGTGCACCCGCACAGACACCGTAGGACATGAGCGAAGAAGAGGACAGAGGAGTCAGCGCTGGAACGGAGACCCGCACCAGTGCTGGAGTTACATAGTATTTGAGGTTGAATAAAGACATTAGTCCATCAAGTCCAACCTATTAGGATCTCATTCTAGGAATGGAGGGATTGCTAAAAACAAATGTAAGGAAGAAGATCGGATTAAGAGACATCATTTAAGGTGAGTCCTTACACTAACATGGGGGGGGGATACTTTAATGTCACTTTAAGCTTTCATGTTACTCTCATGTGTCACATTTGATCACTATGAACAACCTTCGAGGGATACCTATTGCCTGTTCCAAGTTCTAACCTCTTTCAGCCCATGCCCAACACTCACCACTTACCCTATTTGTTGCTACCAATTACTTTTACTGCACCCTGTAACACACAAATCCAAATGTTTGTCTGATCCCATGCATTGTATTTTATTTATTTTGTTTCATGTAAGAGGACATTCAAAATCTGTTTAAGGCCATAGTGTTGTGTACCTTGTTTACTTGAAATCTCTAATAAAAATCTATTTATACAGAAAATGGAATTGCCCTACAGCAGTAAAAGGAAGCAGTGAAATAGAAATGAATGTGTTGCATGACATTTCATACATATCCAGTTATATGAAGACACCATGTATAGCAGAGTGCAGCTTGTACCAATTAACATATATGGATATTTAAAAAGAAAATGTCAATGGTCCTCAGACAAACTGCCAAATAAAGTAGACATAAAACCATTTGTGTGTCTACTTGTTGCGTCCCCACTGAGTAAATAAAATATGTTACCAGCACAATTGTCTGCAGTAGGAATGGCCTCAGTATGTACAAACCTTCAGGTAGATATAACATTCCTGCAACTGGCAGTTTCTTCACTAGCACTGTAGTAGCAGTGTGTGAAGCCTTAGCGATCTCAAACATATCAGCATATGATACCAGTTTGTGACACTTACAGCCAAAGCCTTGTTTTCCTCTATTCTCCTGATCTGGCCTTTCCACAGTGGGGCTGGACGTCCATCTATGAATGAAAATATTCAGTTCAAAACAATTGGCATAAGACCAGTTTTTTTTTTTTTTGCAGTTAGTAAAACCATACTCCAACTGGCAAAGTAAAAGTCATGCCTGCAGAAATGAAATGTCTACTATTGCCTAGATTAGCCGCATGTCTCTTCTGTACCCCTCTCTTATTGGTGCCAGTATTTTTCTGAATTAAGGCTAGGGGGAAAAAACAGATCCTTTAAAGATTATTTACAACCCTTGGCACAGGCTAGACCAGAGAAAATGCTTTCTTTGGCAAAAGCCTGGTTGCTTGCTTTTTTTTGGACCAACTCCCTGGTCCAGAAAAAAGACCTTGGTCCCATTATCCTTGCCCACTACCAGCACATCTATGGATTTCCTGATTATGTTTTATTAGCTATGTCTCACAGCAGAAATTGTGCATCACATATGTCTTCCTATCAGTTACATTCTACAATACTAAAGTATCATTTAAATTGACATAACTGACTCAGCGGTCTAGTAAGAAAACTCATATTCTCTTTCATCTTTGTCCCTTAAAGTGGAACATTGTACTCTCTTCTATGGCACTTGAGCGCCAGCCTTTTGCCATCTCTCACTGGAGCATGATTAGTGTAGATGCCACTCTCCTGAAAAAAAGGAGAAGTATGAGGTGAGTGTTTTTCACTCATCCTCATAGTTCTAGCCAACCTGTGACAATGAAACTGTCACAGGTCGGCTCACTAGAACGGGAAGTGAGTGAACACATGCCGGCGTTCGCTCAGCTCTCGATCCTGTCACGGTAGAGAGCTGTGACAGGGGAGGGGCCTCTAGATAGGCAGAGCCAGCTGTCACTCATGCAGCTGGGCGGATCCAGACATAATTGTCGGGATCTGTTTCAGCTGCGGCGTCTCAGTATACCGCGAGCTGTAGCTCACGGTATACTGAGCTTAGGGTGAGCTCAGGGTGACGGGAGGACGCTAGTTTGTGTCCTCCCGTTACCCTTAGGAGAACTATGGGGAAAAGCCCTAACCCCATAGTTTTCCTTTAAGGAGAAAAACCATCCAGGTCCCATGACCATACCACAATATCATGGCAGTGTTGTCACACCCTGCGAACTCTAACTGGTGAACACTCGAGTGACTGAAGACAGGCCGAATAGAAAAAAAAAGGTCAAAACTGGTAGTGATTGCCCTGGAAGGCAAAAAATTAAGATACTGTTGAAATTATTTTTAGATAGGAAATTGTAAGTAAGCTTTCTTTAGATTTAAGTAGACTGAGAAAGTTCCATAAAGCACAACTGCAGCATTACTAACAGCAATACATTTGGGTCTTGTACCAGAAGCCTGTGTAAAAAATCTGAGATGTCTTGTTTCCAGCAGTACTGATTGCAGCCTCCTGGCTCCGAGTACATCCTGTGTTGCTTTGAAAAATGCCAATGCAGGGCAGGTCCACATCTCAAAACTACGCCCTCTAGTGGTGGTCAGGAACAGCTTGTTTACAGACACACAGCCTAGCCACACTACAGTTCAGTAAAAGTACACCAAAAGGGAGTCCCCAGCCCTTTGTTTTAGAATAACATTTAAGACTTAGAACCTAAGTATTCCCCCCCTTGCTGTCTGTGCCATATTTAAGAGGTTTTCCCTCGCTTTCTGTCGCAGTGACAATTTCGTCAAAAAGATGGGAAACTTCTCTAGCGGGGACACAAAGGTGATGACAACCTTTTATTAGTACGTGGCAGGGTGGCTACGAGCGCCATTAGCATTTTATTGCTAGCTGTGTCCTAAATGGAGATTTCCCTCACATCCTGCCAGTTACAACATTGCCATAACAGAAAGTAATTAAGGGAAATCTCCATAAAGGGCTTGTCCGGATCATCTCCAGACAAGAACAGTTTGTTCCCGGACCAAAAAAGCATCCCAACGTATCCCTGAGGTATTTCTGGGCCCTGTTCACACCAGCGCAGTCCGATCCGGGCCAGACATAAAATATGCTGCTTGTCTCATTTTCTCTGGTCTGGAATGCATGGAGACGCATAAAACCGCATAGAAACAGATGCAAACGCACTGGAACACACCTAAAAGCCTATTTAAAGCTTTAAAAAAAACCCGCTCCGGAATGAGGCAAAACGCAATGCACCGCGTTCCAGATCTGGTCTGGAAAATGGTGTGAACCTAGCCTGACTCCATAATGGCAGAACTAATAGGGGGTTTATCCTTTTCCAACTCTAGAATAAAAACCAAACATACACTGTATTAATAATAAATCTCTCTCTAGCAGTGAAACATGCACTTTTGTTGATGGTCGTAGACGCACCAATTTTTTGGCCAGCCATTTATTTGACTGCAAGCAGAGAATGACAGTTTGATAAAACACGAATTAAAAACTTGTCTACATTATTATTATTATACAGGATTTATATAGCGCCAATAGTTTGCACAGCGCTTTACAATATAAGGAAGACATTAGTCACAATACAATTTAAGACAAGATGGTAAGGAGGGCCCTGCCCGTGAGAGCTTACAATCTAAAAGATCTGATCAAAACTCAGTCGGAAATCCTTAGCTGTAAATGTGAAAAATACAATTCTGCCCTTTGACTGGTTTGTTTGAAAGGAAGTTAGGCAAATAAAGCCTTTTTTTCCAGTTGAAAAACAGCCAAAGGATGCTGGCACAAACAATGGTTTGAACAGTCATTTGCTAAACTGGCTGAAAATTTTCAGTCCATCCAATCGTTCTCATGATCAAAATTGTGAAATAATTCACGAGAACCAGACAGTGGTGAAAAAGAATTTGCCAGATCTTATATAAATAATGAAGCAGTCCTTTCACCAAACAAGAGGATCAATATGCGTGGACTGATGTAGAGCAGCACTAGAAGGCACATGAACATTCATTCAGCAACAGGCGCGTCAGCCACCTAGTGGTTCAATGTGAAAATAGTTCTTTGTACAGCTCACGCTTCTCTATACGCCCTTAAAAATGCTTGTGTTTTACTGTGAATCTAGACCACTGTCCTGTGCGGTGACAATATAATCCAAGTTTATTGTACTTATATATGTGGTAAAGAGGAAAGTGCTAAAATGTTTACATTTTAGGTTATATTTATACAATATACATATGACATACCTCTCATTAACCCCTTCATGACTGAGCTTGTTTTCAGTTTCTGTTCATAAATGACTGACACGCTTTTTACATTTTTCTGTGTGATTCTTCCACGTCAGTAATATACTTTCTTACTAAATGTACCCACACATATTATATATTGTTTTTTAGAGGACAGATAGGGCTATATAATTATATCAAACATGTACCTAATGCCTCACTTAGTTTGAATCAAATATACAAAATGAGGAAAAAAAACTAGAAGAAAACACTTTTTTCACAAGTTTTAATTATTTTTTTGAAATGTTTTATAATAATAGTATACAAATATATTTATATATCATTTTTATTTTCCTAATTTTGTTTAACACTTTATTTTTTTTTTATACTTTATAAAAAAAAACAAAAAAACTTTT